ATTTTTTAAACTTCACCAATTCATTCTATTTTAACATAGACAATGACAAACATTATATTAGGTTGTTGTATCTTACACAACTTCCTTCGTGGCATAGATAATGATGACTCATTACTTTATGAAGTTGATAATGAGTTGAATGAAAGGGAAGACCATAATGTTTCATCATCTCAAGTTCGTGAAGAGGATCATAGGCTAGGTAGTAGTATCAGGGATTCCATAACTGATCAAATGTGGCAAGATTATCAAAACTCGTAGTTATTGTATTTGATTGTGTTGTATGACTATGTTGTTTGAAAATGACAAGAACTTTGTTGAATGGCTGTTTAAACTTAACTTCTTACCATTTTGTTTATCAATTAGGTTTAAAATGAACAGAGGGAAGGGAGTTGCCATTGAGTCTTCTGGTCCTACTAGAGAGTTCATAAAATTGACAGAGGACATGGACGCACGACTTCTACACACCATGATTGAGGAATCACGGCTGGGTAATAGGGTTGATGGAAGTTGTACATCCCAAGCTTATAGTAACATTGTTAATAATCTTCATAATTGTGGGTATGTAGCAATTACGAAAAATAATGTCAAAAATCGACAGAAGGTGTGGAAAGACAAATGGCATGAGGTACATGACCTCTTATCTGGTTGAGTGGATTTTCCTGGAACGGCATAACTATGAGATTTGAAGATGAGGACGAAGTTTGGGAGGACCTCATTTAGGTATTTATTAAATACAATTCATTTCGTGGATTTGTAGAATACATTATATGAACCACATTATGTTTAATGTATGTTGTTTCAGGCGAGGCCCACTACGGCAAAGTGGAGGGTTAACAGTATCAGACACTATGATCTCATGGTGTGGAGTTATGGGCGGCGAATCGAGCTACTGGGAGTGGTGTTCGGACTCTTCCTCAAGCACGTCGACAACGGGTTAGGCCTCATGTACAGGTTGATCTTAATCAGAATATAGAGTACATTCCAGATGAGCCCATCTATCCAGGGTTTACAGACCCAACTCCACCATCCCCTCCATTTGTGGATGAGTATAGTCCAGGGCAGACTCAATATGTGCCTTCTGTCCCATCCGGAGGAACTTCATCCTCACAAGGTTTTAAGAGGAAGGCACCTATGGTCGATGTAATTGATGCTCAATTTGATAAATTGACGACCAACCTGGATGGATTCACAGATGTACTTGGATCTACAAATGTTCATTTGAAAAGATTTCAAATGCAGCCGAACGTCAAATTCATGCAATGGAAAATAGAAATGAAATACTACGTTCCCAAACCGAGATCCTATGTCGCACCCCGACATTCACATACACAGAGGACGACATATATGACATGTTGAGTGCAATGAATATTTCTGATGAAAACTTGTAGGAGCAATGTTATGATTTCCTATGTGGAAATTTGACATGTATGAAGAGGTTGATGGGACTTCCACCACACAAAAAGTGGAATAAGTTATGTAAAATGATAGCGGGTGGTGAATGATCGCAACTGTTAAAATGCCATAGTGTTAGTTGTATTACTATTACATTATTATATGTACTTGTTTTGTAATTATGACTTGTTGGATCTTAACCATCGACAAATTTTAAGTTATGGTTATCACTCATTAATGGTATTGTCAATGTGCCTATTAACATTAATATTGAATATGTTGTTATGAATTAACTTGTTATTGTCTTTATTTTTGGTTTTGTTGAAGTAATTGCTAAATGGCCTCATCATCAACCAAAAGGCCTAGGTCAAATCGTAAGGGAAAAGAAACCACAACTAAGCCAGAAGCAGGCACCTATGTCAGACCATCTATTGCAGAACAATTAGATCAACGTCATTTATTCAGTGATCGCCATCAAATGGAACACTATGTAGCTGATTTCTACACAAGAAATATTGTTGTTCTGAAAATCATGAATTTCGAATCATTTGCCGATTCAGGCTTGTATTTTCAACAACATCTTGTATTTCGAGGAGTGGTAGAATTTCTGACATTGCAGGTACCCTAATATCCGAATTTGATAAAAGTTTTTTATTCAAATCTGAAGATTTCTGCAAATGGATATCTTCTCAGTAAGGTTAACAAGAGAAGAATTAGATTGAAACCGGCTGATTGGTTGAATGTTGCTAATATGAAGTATGAGGGTCAAAAATTGTGTTATGCAAATATCCCAGATGACTTTCCCTATGATCAGAACATGACATTAGCTACTATGGTTAGACCAGAAATGCAGGTTCAACGTGTTAAAACGATTGGTTGTTCTAATATTAATGATAGACTTTTGCATTATGTTATTGTGCACATGTTGACTCCACGACTTGGAAATTTTGCAAAGTTATTGTAGGAGGATATCTTTATGTTATGGGTGCTTAAAAATAACATAACTATCAATTGGCCTCATTACATCATGCAACATATGCTTAAATGCAAGGCTGGTGACACACCCCTACCATACGGTGTCCTTATCACCCAAATCATGCAATATTGTGGAGTACATGTTGATGCCGATGCCAACACTCGGATTGGGACCAAACATCATTTTTCAACTAATTCTTTGAAGAGGTTGAATATTATTAATGTCAACGGTGTTTGGCAACACGACGTCGGTGACGATGAAGACGAAGAGCAACCACACCATCATGAGAACCCTGTGCAACCTCCTCCACATCTTTCAAATCCTAATATGATGACTCAAATGTGGGAGGGGTACAAGACCTGCAACACAGAATGTAGGGTATGAAATAAATGTAGGTGCGGGTTCAGCATATTGAAGATAACTTGGCAAACTTATCCCTCGACATGAACCGACAATTTGCTCACATGAATCAGAATGTTAACTTAATTCTTCACCATTTAGATGATTAAGTTCTTAAATATTCTGTGACTGTATTACATGACTTATTTTCTTAAATTGACTTATGTGTTTGATTTCTTACATTACCTATTTTGGAATTGTACTGGATTTGATATCAGTTTTCATACTTTTATTTATTGTCAACTAAATGAACTGCAAATTAGATGGATTCTCGAATTATTGATGAATTGGAAAAGCAAATTACTCAACTACGTGCAATTCTTGAACGACAAATACAGGCCATGGAGCGTCGAAATTCCCTGTTAACGGCTAGGATTTAGTCATCTAATCCAACTTCAGAAGAAATTCATAACTTATTATGGACTATGAACATTCAAGATGATAATTTATTGAGACAGTGCTTCGACTTTCTATCTTCACATCCATCCCATACAAGACGTCTAATAGGGATGCCAATACAATATCATTTCAATAGATTGCTTACATACCTTACTGAAGCAACTTCATCATAAACTATTACAAGTATATTTGTATGTTGTTATATTCATACATTTTTTTATGTCATGTAATATTCTATCTTCGTTTAATTATTTGTTTCTTCAAGAGTATTCAATCTCACTTCCATAACAAATAAAATCATACTAATTGGTAGTATATTATATTAGGGTTAAATATGTTTTTCATCCCTTAAGTATCATTGATTTTTGGTTTTAGTCCTTACTCAAAACATTTATGGCATTTAGTCCTCGTAGTATTAAAACATGTAAAAAATAGTCCTTAAAAGTGGACGACGTCAACTTTTAATTGATCTGGCAAACGACAATGTTATAGCTTCACTATTCTCTATCTGCCACGTTGCTTATATCGTGAAAACCCCTATGGCCATCTTCCTACGAGAGAAATGCCCAACTCAATCTTTGCCTCTGTTCACCTCAAGCCACCAACAAACGGGTTAACCCTCTAAGCAATAGATATAGAACGAAAATCATAAAGACACTCCAACGTTTTCAATCATAGTGAACAATGAGATAGAAGAATTAAACAATAAAAGGCATGATAAAAAAAAACAAAGAATGCGCTTTCGTATTCGACACTAGCAATGAGTGTTGTTGGGGACGTTTGGCGTTTGAGAAAAAAACCCTCGCATTGAGAGGGAGGAGAGCAGCGCTCGTGGCGCCGTTGAGGGAGCGATTTCGGCGAGAACAACGGTAGCCAACTTTATCGACGGTGGCTGGTTTCATTCGTGGTGGTGGAGACTCGTCACAGAGAAGCAACGGTTCTCCTCTCTCACACGCAGACGGGTCCTGTTGATGATGGGTTTCGCCGGCGACGCCTTAGATCGGGTGGCGACGGCTCCGACAGCAAGCCGCATCACCGGTGCGACCTTGACTCATGGTCCGAGAGGCGGCGACTAGGTGCGGCGTGAATGGCTTGGATGCACTGCAGAGGGTGAATGCGTCTTCCTCTCACGCGAAGGAGAAGGGGCAAAGTGGTGGTGGTCCCCCGTGAAGGGCGGCGACTTTTTCGGCGCAAGTACCGGCAACACCGTGGACAGCGGCGTGGTGGCTGTTCGAGTGGTGGCTGAGGCGGCAACGTCCATGCGGTGGCGACCCGTATCTCCGACAGCACCTCCAATCGGGTTCGAACGACGTCATGTGTTGGTGACTTGATCTGACAGACAGAGAACAGTGAAGCTGGCAGAGGACGTGGCATTGCCGTTTGCCAGATCAACCAAAAGTTGACGTTGTCCATTTTTAAAGTTTTACATGTTTTAATACTACGAGGACTAAATGCCATCAATGTTTTGAGTAGAGACTAAAATAAAAAATCAATGATAATTATGGGACGAAAAACATATTTAACCCATTATATTATAAACAAATACTATATATAAAATTAAATTCATTTTACTAAATTATAATTTTTTAAAAGTTTACAAAATTAATTTCAATAATTATTTTTAACTTTTTACTCTTTAACAACATTTTTACAATTAAATATAATATTAACAATTATCATTTTATATTACTTTAATAACTAGATCACTTTAGTAATCTTTCACTTCTACCAATTAAACATATTTTTTAAATCTGTCACATAAAATAAATCTTATACTAAGATAAAATCTATTCTCAATTAATCTCATTCCTCAAATCCATCCATGACTTTCAAATATTCCTTGTACGTGATTAGTACCAACGCCAGGACCGACAACTGTCCGCACCGCCGCAGTCTAAGGCCTCAACTGGCAACCCGATTGCTGTCAGAGCAGTCTCCGACGTCTCTCGAAACCTCTTTCTTCTTCTCGTTCTACAGATCGCGTGGTTGAGCCGCTTACCCACCACCGGTTTGATTCCTCAGACGTACACTGCGACCAGCGTCGTCGTTTGCCATCGCCCCCGTGACTGGAAACTTTGTCGCCACCGTCTACATCTGAAAACTCCGTTGGAGGTATAATAAAATCATTAAGAAAAGTCTATAAATGTTTTACAGCTTCTGTTTTATTTTGGATTTTTTTTACCCTTGATCTGTTCACCCTTATTCAAGCAATTGATGACACACTATATATGATCGTGTAGTGTATGCCACAGGTGTTGCTTTAGCAAATTGTCGTGAGCCTTTCCAAAGAGACCAAGTATATTTAGTGTAGGTACTGTTCATTGTGCTGCCCAAGAAAATGCCTGAATTCATGATAATTTTTTTGCCACAAGATAGTTTGGAGTTTAATTTCCGCTGCGTTTTCTTCTAGACATTATTTTAGAGTTGCATATTTATTTGGCAAAGCAAATCCCCTTTAAGTTCATTATTTTGTTATATTATTACATGACCTTCTTTTGCTTTCATGACAATTGATTACTGAGAATGAAGTGAAGTGGTTTTAGTGTGTTGGTTGTTTGAGAAACTTGAATGAAGATGTAATTGTGGATTTGATTTATTGTTAGTGTGTTGTGCAGATGAGTAATTTCACGAAGAAGAAATTTGTACACATTTTGCATCGACAGAGTTTTTTCAAGGGGAAGCTCAAAATGCAAGGGAATTATTGCATAAGTGCTGGCGATAGTAAGCTCGTAAGTGAAATTGTTAGCTCTCTTTCATTAGATGGTACCTCCCCTTAGAGTGTAGCTACTTTTATCCTGCTCGTTCTCGTGCTTTAGTACTATCAGTCCACTTTTCTTGATTCTTGGTTTGTTTGATTTTATTTCATCTTCAATTCAGAGTTTCCTTGCATCATTAAGTCGAAAGTTTGCTAAGTAGTTTCATATAATTTTTTACTATTTGAAATATTTATAAGCTTCTATAGGTTTTCATTAAGTGGAAAGTTTGCTAAAGTAGTTATCATGTACTAACAATGTGCCTGAGGTTCGTGAATCAGTAGGCTTAACATTCAGAACTTTATATAAGGTTGCACTTTTTACTGTATTTTTTTTTGTTTTTGCCAAACTATTTTCCCATACCTTATCTCTCAAATTTGGAATGTAGAGTGTTGAAATGCTAGTTATTGATGAGATTGTGCCAACACTTTTACATGCATTGGAGGATGATGAAACTTCTGATACTGTACTCGATGGTCTTAAGCAAATTTTAAGGTGTGCATTAGCATAAAAGTCATGTTTTGAACTTATTATTTGTGTTGATTTCCTGTTTTATTAAACTAAACTCATTATTATAGTGTGACTACACAAAGATAAGTGATTTTATATTGACTAAGAGGACTAATCACATATTCATGCTATCCAGTCGTTATTTAAGTTGTTTATGTTTACAGGGTACAATATAGATGAATGGTTATATGTTGACTATATGATGTGATTTCATGTTGTCATGAAATTATTCAAATTGTTTATAGGAAATACCTTAGAAGTATTTTCTTTATATTAGAATTTGTTGCTTTACTTTCTTTTCACCCTGGGCGTTGTGTCACACTTTATGATAATAGTTTATTTATGAATTTACTTAATTAATTGAATGCTGAAGAAAATTGGCTTAGAATTTTGGTGGCTATGAATGGGGAGTGGGTGGAAGGATTGGTTATGTAGGTGAGAAGTCTTATGGCAGGTTTGCACATCGATTTTTCAGGGGATATCATAATGGAATGTCGGTATGTTAATTTTTATTTTTATTACCCTTTTGTTTTTCCTTGCATAGTGTAGATAGTATTTGTAGGGTCTGTTTAGGTAAATTTCACTATAAGCATTTTCGTAAGAAGATGATTAAATTTGGCTTATGAAGTAACTCCTTTTATTTTTTTTTCTCTAGAGATGTTTATGGAGAAGTTTATTCAAATAAAACCTTTTTACTTGACACTACTTTAATCAGAAATATGATATGATTATTATACAATCTGCAGGGAGCTTATATTTCATATGGTAATGAAGATTGCATTGAAGAATCATTTGGCATGGAGTTTCAGGTTATTCGTCTTTGATTTTTTTTCATCCATTTCTTGATTTTGGCGTGGATCTATTGTTTCTAAGTGCAGTTACAATGTTCCAATCATTTTTTGCTTTGTTTAGTTTATGAGTTGTGTGATTGGTTTTGTGTGACTCTTTCTTCCTAACCAATTTTCTTCCAAATTGGTTTTGTCCCGCAAAGTCAGAGGAAAATGGAAGGGTGGCTTTATCTCTAGTGATCCTGTACTGTATCTTCTACTGAATCAAGAAGAAAGGTTGTTGAAGGTGTTGAAAGAGCTAAGAAGGCACTTGGCTGGTCTTTAGACGACATCAGTGGGATCAACCCAACATTATGCGTGCATCGGATCTTGTTGGAGGATAATTGCCGACCTGTGAGACAACCACAACAAAGGATGAATCCTACAATCCTTGATGTGGTGAAGAAGGAGGTGACCAAGCTACTGAAGGTTGACATCATGTATCCCATCTTAGATAGAACTTGGATATCTCCTGTCCAAGTTGTTCCCAAGAAGAGTGAGGTAACTGTTGTACAAAATGAAGACTAGGAGTTAATTGCTACTTAACTACCAAATAAATGGAGAGTTTGCATGGATTACCAGAGGCTTAACTAGGTTACTCAGAAGGATCACTTTCCACTTCCATTCATTGATCAAGTAGTTGAGAGATTGATAGGAAAATCACACTATCGTTTCTTGGATGGCTAATTGGGATCCATGCAAATCCACATTGCACCGGAGGATCAATGTAAGATCACCTTCACCTGCCCCTTTGATACTTTCACTTATAGGAAGATGTCATTCAGATTGTGTAATGCACCAACCACTTATCAGAGGTACATGATGAGTATTTTTTCTGATCCCATTGAAAGTTGCATGGAGGCATTCATGGATGACTTCACAGTCTACGAATCAACCTTTGATGAATGCCTAGTCAACATGACGAAGGTGTTGGACATATGTATCGAGACGAACCTAGTGTTGAATTTTGGGAAGTGTCACTTCATGGTTAGAGAAGGTATAGTTCTTGGTCATCTTATATCCGAGAGATGCATTGAAGTGGACAAGGCCAAAGTTGATGTTATTTCTTCATTGGACTATCCCAAGTTACTAAAAGAAGTAAGATCATTGCTAGGGCATGAATGTTTCTACTGGAGGTTCATTCAAGACTTCTGCAAGGTGGCATTGGCTCTATCCAGCTTACTACAAAAGGATTATGTTTGTTTTTTTATAATAATTGTAAGAAAGCTTTTGACACGTTGAAGAGGAAGCTGATTACACCTCCAAACATGCAACCACCAAGGTTGTGTGATGCATCAGATTATGCATTAGGAATTGTTGTATCCCAAAGAAAGAAAAAATTCCCACAGGTGGTGGCATATGCATCAAGGACTTTAGATTAGGCCCAAGCCAACTACACTGCTACTAAGAAATTGTTGGCCGTTGTGTTTGTATGGGATAAATTCACATCATACCTTCTCATATCCAAGATTGTAGTATACATAGATCATGCAACAATCAAGTTCCTCTTGAAGAAGTAGGATGCAAAGCTGAGACTTATGAGATGGTATGGATGTGGTAATATGTTTGTGGTGTATGCTATAGCAAATGAAACATGATAGCTTGATGGCTGAGTTGTGTGTTTGGCATTCAAGGGAAAGGGGTTCAAACCTATGCCATGGTTTTAGGAGGGGTTTTATTTTCTTAAACTTTGCTCTTTAGTTTTTTTTTAATTGCTTCAGAAAAACCTAGGTACTTTGAACCTAGAGTAATGCATGAGGCCATAACTTTAATGTTCCATATTTTTTATGCCACGTGCTTCCCTTTGGATAGGAGGAGAATCCGTATTGTTAGGGGTTTGAGAGGGTTTGTGGGAACGGTTAGGATGAGTGGTTGGGCAGGAGAGTGGAGGTTGGGGGAAGTTTTTAAATGCTTGCTAACGTGAAAGAAAACTGGGGGAAAGAACAAAGAAAAAAAAAACAGAGCAGGTTACTGTAAGAGAATTGTGGGAAAAATAGAGACTGAAGTGTGAGCTGCTCGGTGCAAGGGCAAGAGAAGTAGAAGACTCATGTTGGTGCTGGGTTTGGCCGTTAGAAGAGCTAGGATAAACCAAGGTAAGGGGATGCTAACCTGTTTCTCTTTCTACAAAATTAGAATATGCGTGCTGTGGTTGAATGGTTGTTTTGCTACTGTTTGCTAACTCTGAAACACTGCACTTCAATCTATGGAGTGAACACACAATGTCCTTTGTTGTGACATGAAATTTGGCTGTCTATGTATTGAATTGGGGTTATCTGAACATTAATTGGTGAAGCAACTATTTTTGGAATGCGCACTATGAGTGCAGGGGCAGTAGCTAGGTCTGTATTTTCTTTTCTTAGTTTAACACAATCTGAGTTCCCATGTATAGGAGGTTTGGTCTGTAATTTTGGTATGATGATTATATTGTGACTGCTGTTTCTGGTGCTGGAAATTGGGTGATTGACTGCCTTAGTGCAGAATTAAATGTGTTTTGGTGAAGTATACGCCAATTTTATGGGTGCAAAGGTCAAATGTCTAGGCTAGTCAATTTCAACGCTGAGGCTTACCATGGCATGAGCGAATCACTGTTTTATTGAAATACAATCTGTTTTGATGGGTATATGTCTGGTTAAAGTGTTAATGTCTTTGAGAATGAATGTTTACAATGTAGGATAGGCCTTAATAGATGATACATCCTTGCTGGTTGGAGCCATTCACGAATGTATGCTGTTGGGATTAAGATGTTGGCTTCTTACCTGGTTTTATGTTAATGAGGTGAACATGGCGTGATACATGGTCTTGGCTGAGTGAGTTCTTTTTTTAGCTTGAATTGGTTGGGATATAGTCTTAAATCTGGTTGATACAAATAAATTGGCTTTTGGTCCTATGCAAGTGGTTTTGATGTGATTAAATTATTCACGTAAATTGTATGTATAAGGTGTTGAGATGCAAGGTTCTGAGGAGAGTTTATGCAGAGCAGTAGCTACGTAATTTTCTACTGACAGAGGTTGGCTAGAGGTGTTCCTGGACCTAAGTTGAAGGTATAAAGGGGAGAGTAGTAGAGGTTCTATCTGGAGAGTAAACCGTGAGCTAATTATAGTCTTAAGGTCCAGAGTGGTAGCTATTATAAGGGTGTTGTTCTGCAGTATATTCTGTCCAGGTTAGGAGCGAATCGGCCCGTGGTAGGAAATGGTCGAGTGGCTGGACTGCAGAGGTAAATTACTCAGTCTGGTAAGTTTTAGGGATCCAATGCGGTGAAATTTCTGTTTCCCGTGACTAAGCTTAGGTCTGGCCAGAGTAGCATCATCTTTTTAGACCATTGCAGGGGGGTTTTCAGTGGCTATTCTGCATTCTTTTATTGTCCAAATTAGCTTCAACCAGTGGTCCAAAATGGTCACGTCAAATGTTGGTTTCTGCAGTATTAAATTAGCAGTTTAAGTTTCCTAAAGTAGCCAAGATTGGTGTAACCTGGTGTGCATTCCTTGCTTGTTCCTGCAACTTTCCATACTGCCAGTTTAACACCTTAGTGGTCCAATATGGTAGGGTTGTAGGCAAGTTGTTGCAGCGTTGAATCAGTCCAGATTAGCTCTAAACTGCTCTGTTGTGGTGAGTGTTTTAGGCTGTTAATGCAGTCTTAAATCTGTCCAGTTAGAGTGGGAGGTGGTTTTTGGGGTTTAAGATGCTAGATTAGGTCCTATTATTATTTGTTTAAGATGACTGGTGGTTTCCTAAACTGGTGCGTGTTGACTGCCACACTTTAAGGAGTTTAAGCTGTTTGGATAAACTGTAGGTGCTGCTTTGGCATGTAATTGGCTTTCATATAATTTTGGTAATAATTTTATCCTGTCATATACGTTTCTGACACTGATTTAGGTGCTGTGGCAGCCAAATTGCTGTCATATCCTGTCAAAATTAATGCTTTTTTTCGATTACCAATAGTTGTGTGAGTCTCAAGCGAATTAGAGACTTTTACATGTTGTTTCCGTGGATTCTGGCAGCAAAGAATTGCTGCAGCTGGACCAGCTTTGAGTGAAGGTGCCTGACTGCCAGTGCTATAATGTTCTCCAGTCTGTTGTTAGACTTTTTGGTTCTGTTTTGATGCATTTTGGCAGCAACATTGCTGCAGTAATGTACCTCAAGAATTGCTTGACAATGCTGC